TAAAAATAAAAATTGCTACACATTGCATGTAGCAATGTTTGGTTTGCTTAATAGTAGTTTTATTATTACTTATTAATCCAATTGATCAAATAAAGTTTATAATTATAAGCATGTTTGTAATTTGTAAACACTCTTACTACATATCAACCATTAGATGATAGAATAAAAAAGAATATACTAGAAAGGGTTTAAGAAAGTTTATAAATTATAAACATGTTTATAAATTATAAATACAAGATTAATCTAAATGAATAGCAACAGTTTTAAATATTTTAGAATATCCAAGCATATTTTAAGTATATTCACTATCATCAGCAAACCAAAACTCGATTATAGAGCTTAACATTAATCTTAGTATAAAACATCTAGCGCCCATAACCCTTTATAATTTTTCTCTTCTTGGAAAGTAAATATTTGAAGGACCACTACATGATTGCGCTGCTGTGGAGGATGGAAAGGTCTAACTGGTTGCACATTTTCTGGACAATCAATTGAAAGTAAGAGATATTTTGGTACCTTTTGGAAATCTGTTTCTTGGTGAATCGTCTAGTACTTCCCTTTTCTCTTGGGGAATTTGCCAAAGATGGAGAGCTTGTCCGCCATTACAATCCTCTCTCCCGGCCTCGGGTGGTCCGTCTGTTGCTGCTTGAGAATTGAGAACAATGAGGGGCCTCTCTGTTCTATTGGTTTTGGAGCAGGGGTTTCTTTGTTAACGGTGTGCTGTGGAGGGACAACGTCAAAGCTAGGAGTGGCAAGTGGGAAGTTACACACCTGTGCGGCAACTGAAAAACCGGAGAGGCTGCTACTGTCATCACGTCCAAATATGAACGACTTCGAGTTTGTACATATGGTTTGCTTGAGCAATGACGAATTCGACGTCGACCGGTTCGAAAATATTGACTGCGGCACCAAAAAGTTTGTTACGATTAGATGAGAGGGAACCAGTAATTTTACCTTAGACTTACAAACAGAGACACACGTTTCTGTGGAAGAGTTTTATGTTATGTCAAAACATATATAGGAATGAAATAAGAACCTTGTTGAGCAGACTTTCTCTTCGTAGTACTATGAGAAACGTTTGCTTTCTTTATGATGCCCAGAACCTCCCTTGACGATTCATCATCAGCAGGAGACATAAACAGTTCCTGCCTCTCCTGAAAACAGAGATATGTGAGTTGACATGTTCAGAGGCATACTTCACTCTTACAGCAGTTTCGAGAAGCCGTTGCCGTAAAATTGTACGCTCTGTTTCTTCGTCGTCCGACGACTCGTGATATATTTGCATGTCCTCTTCCAAAAACTCAAGACCGATAGATGGAGGCGGCGCAGCTTCCTTTGTTTCTTTCAGTTTCACCGAAGTCCCCCGTGACAACTCTTGTGGATCTGAATCGTCGGCATCCAGAAACGAAGAAATCTCGGCTGTATACTCCGTCTGCTTTGATGATCCTTGAATCCTCCACAAGATGCTGTCGGTCTGAGCTTCATCTTGTTGTTCTAGCCACTGACGATGAAGATCGGCACGTCTGCCATTATCCAGAGGCTCTTCCGCCTCTGCTGAACGATCAATAATTTCGAGGACTTCGGCACTGTCATCTCCTTCGTCCTCCTCACTGTTATGAAGGATAAGGTCCTCATCCTCAGCTTCAGCTTCGTCATCTATAAGTGCCATGATTGGAGGCTTCACAGGGAAGGCTTCGACGGTCTCAGTAGTCCCAAGAGCTTCATCTTGACTTTCCGTCATATGCAAGTCCAAGTGGATCCCTCCATTGTAGTTATCTTGACTTCCTGCGAGAATATAGTCCAGAGCTTGGGAGTCCGGAAAGAGATCCTACGAGGAGAAACGCGTCTGTTAGCGAGATCTTGAAAGTTGTCAAAATTCACACACCTGAGTATCTTCTAAAGGCTGTCTGAAAGCGTTGCTGCATCTTACAGGAGATTCCTGAAAATCATCCATGTTAGACGCAATCGCATGCAGGAATACGCAACTGACCTTACTAGAACTAGTATCCTCTAGAACTTTATTCATTCCGGAACATTCATCCTCGTTTTCACAGTAACTTGTTGAGATCGTAGGGAGCTGGCTCGTATCATGCCCCACATCAACGTCGTTTTGATGACTTACTTTCAACTTACTCCTGCATCGCTGACATGTTACAAGAACAACGCAATAATTTTTATAAAGCATACGCTGACTTCCATCCCAGTTGAATTTTCCTCTGTCGTAATTTGGATAAGAGCCCAGACATAGGAACTTCAAAAACAGGAGCTGCTTCAAAGGCCGCTTCCCTTGTTTCTATAAAAACATTTGATTAACTAGTAGATGTAAGAAAATGCTTACCTCGTAGCAATCTTTGCGACTCTGCATGCATCTCGTCAAGCTCCTTCTTGGTGACCTGAAAGAAATCAGAACTTTTAAATCATAAAAACACAGAAAGAAAAATATGCACCTTCCTAACCTGATGTTTCGTATCATCCTGCAAACTCGAAGAAGGTTGAAGGCTGTGAGCATCAATAGGCTTGTTCTCAGGCTCGGCTATCCTTTTTCTCTTTTTGCTCGAGGTAACAACACCATCGGAGAGTAGCTCATCCAAACTGTTCTTAGACGACTCTGAGCCACTAAAGCTCCCATTACCCACGCCAGATCTTGCACGCTCGTTCTCAATTCCGTCGGAGAGTAGCTCCTCCGCCTGGCGCTCTCTTGCGAAAACTTTTCGCTTCTTCTTCGTGACGATGCCATCGGAAAGTAGCTCATCCAAACTGTTTCTAGACGTCTCTGAGTCATTGTCGCTCCCAGTCGGATCCAAATCCTCGTGACCCATGCCAGATCTCGCAGGATTGTCTTCGGAGACTGCTTCGCCTGTCTTGCTCTTCTTGGCGATTTTTTTCCAGGCATCCAAACTGTTCTTCGACGACTCTGACTCACTACCACCTTCCAAGCTCCCATTTGAATCCAAATTTCCAGGACCACCGAAATCCATACCGTCACCAGGTCTAGCATCGCCCGTAGAATCCCTATGCCCCTCCAAATCCGCATTCTTCTCGGATCCAAGCTCTATGTCTACAGCAGCTCGCTCCAATCCCAGATCAACGCCACCAGTTGAAGAACAATCGTGTCGCTCGTCAAAGCCGGCGATAGAAGTTTCCTGGCGTACCTTGCGAAGGCGCTTGAGCTTGCCCTCCATCGCTCCAACCCTAGGTGAAATTTGGGCGCCATCTCGAGTTTTGATTTTCTTCCCGCCAAAAGATTCCACGTGTTAGAGTTTAACTCGCTAGGAAATGTAACGCCACGCCCACTGAAGATGAAGAAGGCAAGCTAGGGTTTTTAGACGCCGAGCTCGTGTTCTTTGCGGGAGGATAATCGCGAGGTATGTTACGCGTTTCAGATGTGTGTCTCCACACCTCTAGAGTTAGCTTGGATCGTCGTCGCGATTCGCGAAGAAGAAATTGCTAGTTTTTTTTTGTGTGATTCAATTTTTAGGCAATTGAGAGCTCATTCTTGACTCGTTGTCATCTCTCACAGGTCTATGGTTGCTTGTCTTTGCTTTTGCGAGGCCTGTGTGTGGTATTCTTCTCCCTCCTAACGCATTGGTGATTTTAGACATGGATATTGTTGCACCACCTGCGAGATGGAGGTCCGAGTCACAAGAGATTGGGGGTTTCTATAAGTTTTTGAAGGCAGAGGTGAGTGGAAGATCGAGTTTCTATTTTCTTTCTTTCGTTTTCGCTTTTTTTTTTCATTCGTAATTCATTCACTCCAGGTTGAGAGACTTAACGAGGCAGAGAATAATCTGAGCACGCAGGCAATGAGGCAGACCAATTTAATTTTGAGGGAGGACGTCAGTCCGAATCCATACATCCAAAAGATGTATTTCGAGCACCAGATGAAGAAGAGACTTGGAGACTCCAAGTATCCTCAAGCATTTAGACCCTCGGAACCACGTCTTCAATTCCCATCAGGTTGGTAACTTCGTTTCTTCACTAGACTTACATGTTTGTTTATCTTTCTGGCCCAGCAGTATGGGGCTCTTCTGTAAAGCCTGAGAAAGACGAAGTCGCGGAATGTTGCTCCTCTCGAGTGACCGAGGACTCACGAACTGATAGCAGAGTGGAGTCACTGTCGGGTTCACATCTTTCAGGTCCGGCTTTGGAAGAGATTGGATCACCGGAGCCTGCTAGATATAAGTTGCCATCACCGGAGCCAATCAGCTACAGGATTCCAGAGAAGAAAAGCAACAGTGGACCATTAGACTTTGGACGACCAAAGAGCAACAACAATGGTCCAGTGCAAAGCAGCAACTTTGGACGATCGCAGGGCAGCAACAACGGGCAGAGCAACAGCAATGGGCCATTGCAACGCAGCAGCTTGGGACGAGCGCAGAGTAGCAGCAACGGAAGAGCGCAGGGCACTAGCAACAACAACGAGCGACCGCAGAGCTTTAAAACTGGACGCGTTAACAATGGAAGATCTTCACAGAGCAACAACAACAACAACATCAGCAACGACAGGAGCACCCCAAGCAATGGCGATGATTCAAGGCGACTGGACAGAATGAATGCTTTCAGGGAATTCAGCGGCGATAATGAATATGGAAAATCTGGCATTTTTTATAAGGTCGGTCGGTCAAGATCAGGCGCTCGGTTTTATGGTTGAGGTTTTGCCGGAGAAGAAAACAGTCCAGGAGAGATGAGAACAGGACGCTGTGGCCGTGGAAGTTTTGTCCACTGGCACTTATGAACTAGAACACAGGGAGGTGGAGTATCCGTTTTGCGAGAACACGAACTTTTGTTCTCGGTAAGTCTCTTGAAGCTTGTGAAAGCCGAGCGACTGACTTGGTTCGTGGTTTTTGCAGTTGCTATCAATACGACTATAGTTTGAGAGATTTCATTTTCCTGGACAAGCTCCAAATTCGTTTGGAAGCTATCGTCGCGTCTTTCCGATCCATGTCGAGCGAAAACTTCTGTTTGAGCGCGCGCAATGAAGCCGGTCGGTCAGCTCCAGATTTTTATGAACCCTGGCGCTTGGTAAGTTTAGTTCTTTCTATAAGCCATCGAATCAAATTCGCGATCTATTTTTCTTTCCATCTCCAGATCTATTCGAGCACCGAAAGCTCATTTTTGTGGTTTCGCCTCGTCTCGTGACTCTCGGTGGAAAATGCGGCTTGACCAAGTCAGCGCCAACGTTGGCGCGGCGCTAAACATCCAAGCCACAACCACTTTGGAGAAAACGCCCATTTATTTCGTGATGGCAGGTGGAGCGCTGTCTACACGTGGCCCGCGCACAGTGGTCGGGACACCGGTGATGCCGGCGAGCGAGTCGGCCGTCCACGCGGCGGCACCGCCGAAGTTCTTTGGCCGCCACGCTGTTTCACACGTGGACTGCCGCGTCATTGTCGATGGTGACGTGTCAGGGATCATGCAAACCGGACCCCTGTTGGGGGTTTTATCGCAAGATATATTTCTCTTTCGGCGAGGGCAGCAGGAAGATCGCCAGGCGTCGTTCCTTCGCTCGCTCGCTCGCTCGCTCGCTCGAATCCAGGTTTGCTTCATCGGCATTGCTCGAGCGGTGCCTCCCGATCCTCGATCCAGTGCCTTCTTGCCGAGATCGGTCGATATTTCGAGTGGAATTCACCGCGATTTCCATCCCGGGGCGCTCGCCTATGAGGGTTTCGTGAGGATCCCATCCATTCCAGCGGCGCATCGACAATGGCATCCAAGTTCCACAGCTGCAATGGCAAGACGCTCGAGGAGCGCGTGGCGGAGATCAGGGAGCTGCTCGGCAAGGCCGACGGAGATGTCCTCAAGATCGTCGGTGTGGGAGCCGGCGCGTGGGGCAGCGTCTTCGTGGCGATGCTCCAGGACGCCTTCGGCCACCTGAGGGATTTGGTCCAGGTCCGGGTGTGGCGGCGCGGGGGCAAGGCGGTGGACAAGAAATCCGCCCAGCACCTCTTCGAGATCATCAATTCCAGGGAGGACGTGCTCCGGCGGCTCATCCAAAAGTGCGCCTATCTCAAGTACGTGGAGGGGCGATTGGGCGATCGAGTGCTCTACGCGGACGAGATCTTGCGCGACGGCTTTTGCATCAACATGCTGGATACGCCACTGTGCCCCCTCAAGGTAGTCACCAATTTGCAAGAGGCTGTGTGGGACGCGGACATTGTCATCAACAGCCTTCCTTCCACGGAGACCCGGCCAGTGTTTGAGGAGATTGGGAGGTACTGGCGAGAGAGAAGAACCATGCCCGTGATCATATCGCTATCAAAAGGAGTCGAGGCAGCTCTCACGCCCGTGCCACACATTGTCACTCCAACGCAGATGATCAGCGAAGCAAGTAAGTGGTTTTCTTTCTCTCTTAAGTTCTTAGATTTGTTTTCTTAAAGGTCTTGTGATTCTTTTACCCTGACAATGCTTTTGTTTTATGTAGCCAAGGTGCCTCTAGAGAACATTCTTTATCTAGGTGGACCAAACATCGCAGCGGAGGTTTACAACAAGGAGTACGCAAACGCCCGGATCTGTGGCTCCGAGAAGTGGAGGAAACCTTTGGCTCGTTTCCTGAGGCAGCCGCATTTTGTGGTGTGGGACAACAGCGACCTCGTTACTCATGAAGTCATGGGAGGCTTGAAGAACGTCTACGCAATTGGTGCCGGTTAGTCTTCAAGTTCTTAGTTTCTTGTTTGGAAAACGAAAGAAATGTTCTAAAATCTTTGGTTCGCTCACAGGTATGGTTGGCGCACTGACAAACGAGAGCGCGACGAGCAAGGCCGTCTACTTCGCGCATTGCACGTCGGAGATGATCTACATCACGCACTTCCTGGCCGAGGAGCCCGAGCGCTTGGCCGGGCCTCTCCTGGCGGACACGTACGTGACTCTACTAAAGGGACGCAATGCCTGGTATGGGCAGAAGCTCGTGGAAGGGGAGCTCAGGCTCGACATGGGAGACAGCATCCAAGGCAAAGGCATGATACAGGTGAGATCTTTCACACTTTTCCTTTTTGAAGACACTCACCCAACTTCAATTCACTTTGGCAGGGAGTGTCAGCTGTGGAAGCTTTTCATGAATTGCTCAGACAACCAAGCCTGAGCGTGATGCACCCAGATGGTAACCGGCCCGTGGCTCCAGTTGAGCTCTGTCCCATACTGCAAATGCTTTACAGGATCCTCATCAAGAGGTAGGCCTAGTAGTCCACACATTCCTTTTCTCCTTGCTCACTGGCTTGTGCGTTTATATGTTTTGTGCAGGGAGTGCTCGCCAGAGGCCATCTTGCAGGCTTTACGTGACGAGAATATGTATGATCCCAGGCGCCGGATAGAGGCAGCGCAGGGCAAGGACTGCTACATGCCGCAGCTCCTGGGGAACGTAAAGACTACCGCAAATGGTGTGATCAAACAGGTCTTGGCATAGATTTCACGGTCGGGTTTTTTTTTTCTGGCTCTTGGTTTCATGCTTTTCTGCTAGAGAGCATGCACGATGTCAGTAGCAATTGCCGATAAAAACAGGAAACACGAAGAAAACATCAGATTCTTTCACACGTCCCAAGGATTTTCTTAGAACTTTGCAAGCTAGCAGCTAAAAGTACACAGATGGCTTCCATAGCTGGATATCACATCCACCATTCCGCCATGGCCACCAACAGCTGTCACCTGGGTATAAGTTTCCAAAAGGCAATGAAAAAGTCGTGAGAATCTTTTCTAGCTCTTTGTCTCGAGCCTAGAAAGCACAGAAACAAAGTGATACTTACTCCAGATGGATGGAGTGACACGGCGAAGGAAGACAATGGAGCGCAAGCGACTTGGGACGAAAGCTTCCCGCCAAAGGTGAATCGAGAAAGATGCGGTTGAACACCGACGACCACAATCTGTCATATAAAAGATCATTTCTATCAGTCAAAGATCTTTCAAAAGATCTTCCTATCAGAGGTTTATCAAAAGATCGAAAGATCTACCAAAAGCTTATCAAAACTCTCTCATTCGTTTTTAAAATCTAAAAGCTGACCTCGTCCGTGGTGAAGGCCACGTCTTGCGGGGCTCCAGCGGTCGTTATTCTCGTTGCTGCTGCTACCATTGGCAAGTTCCAGAGCGTTACACATCCTCCTCCAGTCCCACACGCCTTTTGCAAGCGAAAACAAACAAGTATGAAACAAACCAAGGCATGGAGAAACTTACCATCCAATTCTCGCTAGCATCC